AAGTCATCCTATTTCAAAAAGATTTTTAAAATACAACAAGCTAAGTCTATTCAACTACCCCCGGCCCCCTCCCTCAGCTCCCTCTAGACTTGTTCAGAAACCCTTCAATTCAATTCGGGACCATTTGTTAGGAACCATTTGTAATATATTTTGATGATACCAAACATGGTAGGATATTAGCTCCAAACTCTTTTAAATTTTTAGACTTAGGAACTTTTCGTTGTCACATCCGCATAGTGGTACTAAAGGGCGAATTATACCACCCAGAAAGTAAAACAACCGGATACTAGCTAGTTCAATCTGCGCGTAAGGTAGACTAACCGGATAGTCTATGATCCAAAAAGTCAATATAACCAAATGGTTTGAAGATTTATGAAGAACCGAAGAATACAAGACGAAGATCGACTTGAAGACCCAAAAGATGCAAAGGCCAAATAGTGGAAAGATCATATAATTAGAACAACCGAATGGTTCAGTAATTATGTATAGTAAGGCTCACAGAAAGTAATATCAACCAAATGGTTGATAACGGCCAAATGGTAAAGAAGTTGACGATAAGTCAAAAACCTATATAATAGGTAATAGAAACATTGTAGTATATATGACGATAAGTCAAAAACCTATATAATAGGTAATAGAAACATTGTAGTACATATGATATTTGTACAATATGAGAAATAAAATTTAATTGAGATAGGCCGTATATCATATATGTGTAAATATAATATACTTTCCGCTAGAAAGAGGTTCACCCTCTAACCTTGTGGTTAAGAGCCACGCGCTCTAGCCAACTGAGCTATTCCAGCAACTGGAATAAATAGTTGTGTTTTATTATTTAACTGAAGAGTTCTTAAACGGCTATATAAAAACATAATAAATATCAATCTAGGTGTTATGTCCCTTTTTTATGTTACAATTTTTTATACAATATGCTATAAGAGGTGTAGTATATATATTTTTTGGACAAAAATATATCCCTACCATTATAAATTTGTTATTGTTTACCATTATTATTATTACCATACACATGTGATAGTACTAATTCGTACCGTATATAATATGTATGTGTATAAACAAGGGGAAGAACACCAGAAATATATCTCAAATCCTCTCTTTTATTAATGTCTTGCTTGTGTGTGTGTCTCTGCGTTGGAGAGAAAGGGGAGAAGAGAGGAAGGGAGAGAGAGAGAGCCGAGAGATGGGGAAGGAAGCCAAATGGGCCAAAAAGATCCCCTCCTCAAAGGGCTAGAAGCCCTTTTAAAGGCCTCCGAGGCGGCGGGTTTGACCCATCTCGGGTTTGACCCGTCGCCTTTGACCCCGACCCGACTGCGAGCGATGGCACGGACCCGGGGCATATACCTTATCAACATGCATATATACACAATATATTTTCTTATATATTCTTAAAATAAGTTTGATTTCACTAGATGTTAACTAAAAGTTAATTACCATGCATAATTATATTTAGTAATTAATTAATCATATATAAAATTCTTACTTTAATAATATTAATCATACCATAAGTATTATTCAAATTTATCAATTATGTTTTTAATAAATTATAAATTCTACAACTATAAATTTAATACGTACACACACACAATTATTTTTAAAAAAAAAATTAACATTGAGTGTTAATATTGTCATATTGAGCATATATTTTTCACATCATGCATATAATAATAATAATAATAATAATAATAATAATAATAATAATAATAATAAGTGGTGGTACGGTGGTAGTTTTAATAATAATACTAAAACTAGTTTGAAGAGAGATGAGAGAGAGAAGATAAATGCGGAAAAAATAAAGAATCCAGAAAATGTTTTCTGACTAAAAATCTAGAAAGATATTTTTCACCAAATTGAGTCTTTTTTCTGTTCACCATAATGAATATTTTCTTTTGACTTTATTTTACTTGAATATCCATGTGATTTTTTTTTTCTTTTTTAAATGAATTCCAGAAGTCATTTTCTAGATTTCCAAACGGACCCTAAGAGGGTGTTTGGAAGCCTAAAAAGTTCAATTTTTCTGAAAATTTAAAATGTTGGAAAATAATTTCCATGTTTGGTGCAATTTTTTATTGAGAAAAGTTCATGTCAATGAGAATCTAATTCCATAATATCAAGGAAAGTAAGTCTCACCTATGGGGGTAGGATTCTTTTTCCCTTACTGAGAATCTACCAAATTTATTCAATTACGTATTTATCATTTTTGGCATCAGACTAAAAGTTTCTTATAAATATAAGAAATTTATCTCTCTCACCATTACGAAAGATAACAATAGTATTTATCAAACAAAAATTACATATAGGTATGTTACCAATATTCTAAATTAGTTTCTATCTCAAATATAATTTCCGATAGCGATGCATGTCTCTCTCTTCTTTTTTAATTTCATTTACTGTAATTCTGATAGAGTTTTCATGTCTTGTTTGTAATCCGATTCCTTGCATCCAGGAGTATGTGTGTGTGTGTGTGTCTCTCTCTCTCTCTCTCTCTCTCTCTCTATATATATATATATATATATATATATATATATATATATATATATATATATATATATATATATATATAAACTTCTAATCATTTGTTCTGTTTTTTTTTTTAAATATTATTTATATATAGTAAGGATATATATTATAGATATTTTTTAAAAAAAATTCTTAGAAAATTTTAAATGAACCGAACATCTTAATTAAATTTTATGTTTCTCAGATAACATCAATCATATTAATTAATTAATTTTTCTTGTAAAATTATCCCCAACAAATACATTCCTTGAAAATATAAATATTTTCCTAGGATTTTTTTTTTTTTTTGAGTACTACTGACTCTGTTACAATGTAGTATCTATTCATATCTACTTTCTCAACCTATGAAGCACAAAAAGTTAATATCACCCCCACTAGAACTCAAATCCATGACCTCCCACTCGGAAAAGTCACTTCATGCCACAAGATCGACCACAAGGTCATCATTGACATTTTCCTAGGAATTTTAATTATGGGAAAATACCAAACACACCCTCTAAATGAAAAAATAAAAATAAAAATCATACACAATGTTGCCAAAACAAAACGAAACAAAAATAAAATTAAAAAGAAGCCATCCACATAATGACAAACATTAAAAATAAAATAAATATAAATTAAAATAACCTACAAGTATTTATTTTTTTATTTTTTACTATTGACTCAAAAAAAAAAAAACTACACAAGTATAATTTCATCAAATAATGATGCATTATGCATCAAAATGAACCACAACCAAACACATATCGGGATTCACACTAATTTTTAATACCCTAAAATAAAATTTGAATGATTTTGAACCATGCAAAAAAAAAAAAAAAATTAATTAATTCTGGATGGGATTAAATTTAGATGAACACTAGTAAAAATATCTCATAAAAGAACAGGGATATGTATGTTGGAAGATCGAATATCGTAAATAGGAGGTAAAGCCTATTATGTGGATATCGTAAATTGGAGTTATTCCCTAAAAAACGAAGGAAGAATTTATTAATCTTTGACCCCACACAAACCAATTTTTTTTTTTTTTTTTTTAAGAGAAAGGAAAGGGCGAAGCCTTGGCTAACAAAACAATAAAATCAATCTCTACAGGTACTATGTAGGCACTCTGATCACATCTCTCTGAACACGTACCTCAAGATCACCAGACCGACAAAAGACAGCAAGGCCAATTCGGGGCCCAAATCACGGGTTCACGATTCCTCACAAATTAATCCGCAACTTAATTTTGTTCTCGAATTATGCTATGCATCCGTATGCACCATGCATGGTGCATACAGATACAAAAACGATGTCGTTTTAATAAAACGCGCGTCTCCCCTTAAAAAAAAAAAAATCAAGTTCGATTCCCAGCAACAACATATGAACTAAAATTCCATAATCGATGAACTATAATTCCATAATCTAATCTATGAACTAAAAATTTCAGAATGAATTAACTAAAATTCCATTATCTATAAACTAAAATTTCAGAATTGATGAACTACAATTCCATAATAGATGAACTATAATTCCATAATCAATGAACTATAATTCCATAATCTATGAACTAAAATTCCAGAATGATTGAACAATATAATGTTGTAGCTGGGAATCGAACCTGAATTTTTTTTAAAAGGGAGACACACGTTTTTTAATAAAACGACGTCGTGGTGCATACGGATGCACAGCATAACTATCCGCAGAACATGGTAACATTAAGGAATCATTTACTTCATTTTTCCGTTTCTCCATTTCTCCAGTTTTTCTTCTCTATTTCTCCAGTTTTTCATTTCTCCATTTATCCAATTTTTCATTTCTCTAATTTTCTATTTTGTTAAATGCAATCATCCTATATAGCATTTGTATATTTCTACAACAAAGATAATAATAATAATAATAATAATAATAATAATATAATAATAATAATAACAACAACAATAACAACAAATTTGTGTGAATAAAGATGAGGAAAAAAGAAAAATAAAAAAAGAAAAAAGATAATGATAATGATAATGATAATAATAATAATAATAATAATAATAATAATAATAATAATAATAATAATAATAATAATAATAATAATAATAATAATAATAATAATAATAATAATAATGGGAAAAGTAGCATTCAAAAAAAAAGGGAAAAGTGACATTAAAAAAAAAAATAGTAATGGCATGCACAGGGCAAACAACAAAAGGAGAAAAAAATTCTTTATTTTTCTATTTTGATAAACCACCACTTAGTATTCCAATTCTTCCTCATCCAGCTCTTGCACTCATAGATAAAGTTAGTCAAGGATCCACCGTCCATTGCGTGGAGGAATTTATTAATTGGGAATCAAATAAGGGCAATTTGATTCATCACCATACAATGTTGCGCAGAATTTTGAACAAGAATCTAACCAGTCTTTCTTATCTTTTTGGAATCAATTGCAAACCCCATAAATAATTCACCAAAACCGCACTCAATTTTCACCAACTAACCCAAGGAAAAAAAATTCTCCAATTTCATCATATCAATATGGTTCTTCATCAATTCGTTAGGGTTTGTGGACTTCAACCAGCCGACGGCCACTACTATGGCCACTACAACAACAGAGACAAATATCCTGAAAGTTTGGAGAAGAATTTGTATGTCAAGGGGGCAGAATATGAAGATGGCTATGTCCAACCCAACAAACACAAATACGATGAAAACAAGTTAAAGTACAAAAATGGCTACTGTTACTATGACAACCGCAACAAAGACAAGTACGATAAAAACAAGAAGAAGCTACTCTTGGAGGGGTTCGATATTGTCAAAGAAAAGTACCAAGATGGCTATGGCGACTATTACAACCGCAACAAAGAGAATAAGTACTATGGGGGTTTGAATTTCAAGGAAAACTGTCAAAATGGCTATGACCACCGCCATGGCAATTTCGACAAAGACAAGTACAAAGAAAATAACAGGTTTTATGAGGGTTTCAATAATGTTAAGGAAAAGTATCAAGATGATGACTACAGTCACTATGACAACCGCAACGAAGACATGTATGAGAATTCGAAGTTAGGCCTGAAGGTGAACGCCGAAGGGAGAAAAACGTTCCAGGATTTTGATGATCTTGGTTACAGCTCTAACATTCACTACTCCGACCTCGAACAAGTGCACTCGGGCGTGTGGTCCTGTAAATGCTATTCAAATGTATGATGGACTCCGTTTAACATAGAGTCTGTTTGACCGAGCTTATTTAAGAGTTTATACTTTATTTTAAGCTACTATAAGCTATAAGCTCCGTTTGGTAATGTTTTTAAAATAATATAACTCTGTTTGGTAAGTTTTTTAAAATAAGCTCGTAGCTTAAAATAAGAGTTTATTTTGAAAACGTTATCTTAGGTAGCATTTCAAAATAAGCTAGTAGTTTCTTAACTTTTTTTTTTCGATCTTTATTCTTATTATTTTAAAGAAATGACATCCTTTATCATTTCCGATTAAAATCCTTTCTCTTCTCCGCAACTTTCACCCCAATTATTATTATTATTATTATTATTATTATTATTATTATTATTATTATTATTATTATTATTATTATGAGATGAAGGAGATTCGCAACAATATTGCTACTTCATTATGGAATGCTAGATCATTATTATGCATTTATGCTAATATATAATTTTATTTTAAAATTTTAAAATTTTTTAAGACAAAATATTAAAGTTTAATATGCAAACAAACTATTTTAAATTTTATGAAGATATCCTTTTTTGTCTTTTTACGTTTATAGCTTATTGAAAAGCTAATTTTACCAAACACTTTCAAGCACATAACAGCTAGCTTAACATCACTTCAATTTTCAGCTCTTAGCTTATAGCTTTTCAACTTTGAGCTCCTTTAAGCTTTCAGCTACATTTTCAACTAGGTTTGCCAAACATAGCCATAGTTTATTTAGGAGTTTATACTTTATTTTAAGCTACTAATAAGCTATAAGTTCTGTTTGGTAATGTTTCAAAAATAAACTACTAGCTTAAAATATAGGCAAGTGTCAAATAGGCTCATCTACTATTGCGAAGTGCTCAATTCCCACCACGAACTAAATTAAGTGTCAAGTAGGCCCATCTACCAGCTAAATTTGTTTGATTGACTTTTTTTGCAGGTTGCTAACAGGTTGTCTATTTAATTATTAAAAAAATATAAAATAATATATATATATATATATATATATATATATATATATATATATATATATAAAACCAAAAAATAAAAATAAAAATTCAGCATGCCCATGCTTCTTTGCCATCCAACCATCCGTTGCAACCTGAAAGAACATGACATCTCGGATTTTCGCAAAGTTTATTAAAATCTATCATTTTAAAAATTTTTAAAACTCTACAAAAGTCATGATTGAATACACCCCCTTTAGATTAATTTTGTTAGGCAATTATTTTTTAGACAGGAAGGACAAATTATGCTATCAGTTGGGCTATAGAGATGATTAGATGAAGTCTCAGACATGGTTTTAAATGAGTGGTTCTCATTTGTCTAAAGATGTGTTAAATGATGAGGTCTTCAGGCAAGATTTGAGATTGTGATGCTTATTAATTCAAAGAGATTTTATAGCTAATATTAAGGGTGGTTGCATCTAAAATATTTAGTATATAGAGAAGCTTGGATGGCAGAAGCAGGAGAAGCTACTGCATTGATATTCTAAATAATACTTAGCAGTTCGAAGGTGAAGTTCATGCAGCAAATTACAATATTCCTTTGATTAGCTTACTCTATATATTGTTTTGAAGGGAAATTCGAAAGTGGAAAAGAGATTTGCTGCATTCCAAGGCTTAGTCCTGTATTATTTAATTATTTAATTCTATATATTTTCTTACGTATAAAGCTATACGTACAGTACTATATGAAATGTGTGAGTGGATGTGCTTTCATGGTTGAGATTTGGTGAACATTTATTGAAGCTGAAGTAGAGCTTTTGGCATGCACGTACCCGTATGAATAGATGATGATGTGTTGAGTAGTTGTTGTATACCGTAGTGTGTATTGTATTTTCCTTTGTAATCCTTTGGTGGTCATCTAGTGGATTGATCGAGCTGATGTGAGTTGCCTCGCAAACGTAGAAGAAGTGCTCCGAACTGCATGAACATTTCTTGGTGTCTGGTTCCATTTATATTTCTGGCGCTTGTTCTTTATTCTATCGGGTGTAGATCCTGTAGCTAATCCAGATTAATAAGTGAATTTAAAATTGAGTAGAAACCATTAGGAAATTGCTTGCATTCAAGATCCACCATCTTTTTCAATTGGTATCAGAGCTTGGGGAAATAAAATATTAGTCTAACTGATTTGGCTTTCTCGTGTTTCTTGAACTCGAGCCCTCGTTGTCTGTTCTTTAATGTATTCTGCTTTTCTGGTTATTTGCTTTTGCTCACTGTGCATTCAGTCTTGCAGCATTGAACGACATAGGCCACCTCCTGAACTGACAGGTGATAACTATGCATGCTGGAAAGGCTTGTATCAAAATGCATCGACGAGCTCAAGGAGAGAGGGACTGGAGGGAGGTTCTTACTGGGTGGACTCATCTTACCAAAGCTGGAGCCACTCCAGAAGATCCTCCAGTCTTCAAGCCAGAGACTGAATGGATTGTCCCTGATCAGATGACAACGGCTGGTTTTAATAATAAGGCATTAGATGCTATTTTTTCTTTAATGCATGAAAACCAATTTACGCTTATTGCAGGGTGTGACTTGGCTAAAGAGGCCTGGGATATCTTGGAAACCACTTAGGGCACTGACTCAGTCAAACAGTCGAAGTTACAACTGGTCCAATCTGACTTTGAAGATCTTAAAATGAAAGAGGATGAATCAATTGTGGACTTCCATGCCCGTGTTCAGGAACTTGCAAACCTTGCAAATGTTTTAGGCGAACTTTTCCCTCAACCTAAACTAGTCAAGAAGATTCTTCGTTCACTCCCTCAATGTTTCGGGATGAAGGTAATGGCAATTCAAGAACATGACAGGTGGGAGAACAAAACCGTAGCTCAATTAATGAGAAGCTTGCAAACTTATGAGATGGAAATACTCTCTGACCACACCAAAAAGAAGAAAAACATTGCCTTTATAGAGATCTGAGGAAGAAAGCGGGAAGAAGAAAAAAAATAAAAGAGAAAAATGAAATAAATTTAAAAGAACCAAAATACCCTTCTAATTATAACATATTATTTTTTCGGTTGGAACTCCGGTAATATGTGGCCGGAAAATTAGATCGGATGACCAAAAGTGATACTAGTTAGAAAGTCATGCACCTAATTTGAAAAAAACAATAGTCAAGGACCAAAAATACTTCATCTATACATTTTTTTTTTGTCGATGGCTTATATTAACTCAATCACTATTAAATGGTTGGATTGACATGCAGTGGTGCGAATACATATTTGGAGGCAGAAAATAATGGTTGAGGAAACATAAAACTTACCTAAGTTCTCTAGCTCCCATAAATATTCATCTTTTCTAGATTGTACCGTATAATGCTCCATAAGAGATCTAAGTTGATCTGGAAAGGAATGGTTAATCTTCACTAAATTCAAGCCACGAGCATCCTAACAATACTCCGCCACACTTTCAGCATTAATTGATTGTTGCAAGAACAAATTTTGTAGTATTGGTTGTGGTATGATAACTTATTTATAGTGTTGAAGTAGATATATATAAATACTGGTTTTGAATTTTAAATTCATTTTAATCAATTAATGTTAGTCTTGGAGACGGTAAAAGTCATTTGCAATTCAAAAATATGATTTTCAAAATTTGTAAACATATTTTATTTGTTACAGTAAATGTAAACATAATAAATACACAATCAATGTCTTACAAATCTATCAAAACTACGTCATTTTCACTGGGTGAAAAAACGAAAATATTTTTTTTCTCAAAAGATCTGACTTTATTATAGATATAAGATAAGACCATTCCGTACAATATTGTCATATTGTGGAAACTTTCAATAATACCAAATATCAATGCTTGTGTTAAGTTGATATATTTGATGAAAGGTAGGTAGTGAGCTGATGATGTGAAGTTGGAAATTGAATTCCTTTTGCCTTATAGTATGCCTTCTCTGCATTACCTACCCTATCTTGAAATGTTTGCCATTCACTCTACATGCATCTCTGTTTCACCTGCAAATTAAAGTAAACAAAGCTTAATTAAGTTTTAACATAATTTAATTTCCAATGTTTTCAGAAAGCACCATCTCAGATCATTCACCAGTCTCGACTTGTACTTTCCACTCTTTTGCGGTCCCTATAAAAAAGCAAAGGGAAAAGGAATTAAACATAAAACAGTATGATGATCTGATTATGTTATATTGTACATTAAATATGCTCCGATCCGGTAATATTTATATGTGTTCATGTGTATATGTGTTGTATTACCTCGTTCCCAAGTGAAGGAATGCCTTGGTGAACAACGGGTTGGGCATCAACCACTCCAATTTTGTCGTGAGCCGACTACAATGGTTTAACGTTTTAGTAACATGTGAGTGGACAATTTAATTGCAATTTATTTAAATGGCATTGTGGTCAAGCGACATAAAGTGACTCGTACAACTGGGAAATCATGGGTTTGAGTTTCAGTGGAGGCGATTTTGACTCGTTGAGCTTCAATAGGTTGAGAAAGTACATGAACAGATACTACAGGTGACAGGGTCAATATACCCACAAGTGTGTACTAAGGTAGAGTGGAACTAACCTCAACCAAGTCATTCTACAATTCACACAATTAAGCTCATTAGATCTACTCAAGACATAAGATGTTTATGAATAAACAAGATAGTTGTGTCATAGTAGAAGCTAAGAATAGAAGCACATTTGGCTACCCGACCCCGACTTCCATGTATACCTGAATCATATGCCACACACAACGCCAAGCGTCTCGAGAGAAGACGGGAGCCATGATCTCCACGAATCTAAAACCATATAACGAGCTTAGTTATATATACTCCTCCACAGGGCTACTAGCATATAAATTTCAGACAGCAAGTTTTAACGATTCATACGCTGCACATGGAGGCAAACGAGGATCAGAACACCAGCCTTGTTTCTCGTTGGTTTCCCTGATGACACAAAATTAGATCGACTTATAGAACTGTCAAAACGTGATCCTGTTCCAACGACATTCTTACTTGTGAACTTCACTGTTAGCTTTTCTCCTCGTCATCTCCCACGTCAACCAAACTCCCTTCTTTCGCTCCAAACCGGGCTGCGAAATCTCCAGCCCATGTTTCTTCACAAGTTTTATGTATCTGAAATTGCAGGAGCAGAGAAAGGGACCAGGAGTCAATTTTGAGATCCCGAAAAGGATTAAAATCTTGTGATCGAGTATTATTAACTTACTCCTCTGCATCGAAATGCTCAACTCCTAGGTTTTCATCCCAGATGAATATGTATTCGTACGAGGCAACAATATGGGGATGCAGAATCCTTTTGGCATACCACCTTAGACAAAGTTGCACCTATAGTTATAAGTAGGTGCGGCCAGGTGCATGAATGTTTGCGGGAAGTGAATGTTAACAAGGCAAAATTACATGCACTTAGTGAAAGTAGGTGCACTTGTAAGTGATTTTACTTGCACTTCGATGTTCAATTATTTACAAAAATACCACCGCCTTTTTTTTAATCTATTAGATCTGGACAAGTGTCGCGCGCGGATTCGTTCGCATATTCCCTCTTGGGCACTTATTCGCACCTAAGTGCATCCATATATATATATAGGATTTGCAGCGCTACCATGGACCATTGCCTACTTTACAAAGAAGATCACTCATATAAGGTACATTTTTAATATAATAAATGTTTATTTTTTAAAGGTATATTATTTGAGTATGAAGTTTTATTATTTGGTATACTACCAAATAACAAATCTTCAGTGTACAAATAATTTACCTTCAATATATTAGGTGAACATTTATTCATATATGGTCCACGATATAATATGTCAGTAGTGTGCCCTCGCGTGGGGGCAGTACGCGACAGCGCGCCCTTGCGCGGGGGGCGATACGCGACAGCGCGCACCCTCACGCGAGGGGTTCGTTTTAATTATTTTCCTTCTCTTTTTTTTTTTTTTTTTTTTTTTTTTTTGCAACATTGTGTTATATATATTTTTTTCAATTAGATCGTGGGTTTGGTATTTTCCCATAATTTAAATTTCTAGGAAAATATTTTAAATAAATGTATTTGTTGAGAATAATTTTACAAGGAAAATTAATTTATATTTTTGATGTTGCCTAGAAACTTGGTTGATTGCAGGATTTCCAGCCCTACCATGGACCATCGTCTACTTTACAAAGAAGATTATCACTCATATAAGGTACATTTTTAATATATTAAATTTATATTTTTATTATAATAAATGTTTAATTATCACTCATATAAGGTACATTTTTAATATATTAAATTTATATTTTTATTATAATAAATGTTTATTTTTTGAAGGTATATTATTTGAGTATGAAGTTTTATTATTTGGTATACTGCCAAATAACAAACCTTCGGTGTACAAATAATTTACCTTCAATATATTAGGTGAAAATTTATTCATATATGGTCCACAGTATAATATGTCAAACAAAGAAGGGACAATTCAACCAAATTGGTCAACTGTTGATCGGTAACCACAATGTTATAAGTTTGACTTTCAATGTGAGTGTCTTATTGACCTTCTTAGTTCGAGCCGGTCAACTAAGGACAACCTAGGCTGGTTTACCTTTTTGTGGTCCATTACTGATTAAGATCCCAGTGCACACTCTTGGGTAGCTGGTGACTAAACAAATATGACATGCATGCAATTGGGAATCAAATAAAATTAAAGCAGTTTGAATGCCTGTGTTTGATTCATCACCTGCGCAGAATTTTGAACAAGCTAGAATCTAACATGTCTTTCTTATCTTTTTGGAATCAATTGCAAACCCCATTGCATAAATATATAATTCACCAAAACCGCTCTCAATTTTCACCAACCCAAGGAATTTTTATTTTTTTTTTTCCAATTTTCACCACCAATACCGCTACCACTACCACCATTTATATTATTATTATTATTATTATTATTATTATTATTATTATTATTATTATTTTATTAAACCAAGTAAGATGAGTTAGTTGGTTAAAAATAATGGGAGTAATTATAGGTGCAATACATGGCCATGATGTTAGCTTTACATGGAGCATTAATTCCTTAATTTTAGCATTTGAGTTATCTTATCTAGTATAAATAGTCTTTGTATTCAAGCTTTTATTATCAATCAAGTTATCTATTCCTCTCTCTCTCTCTCCTCAATATATATAAATATAATATATATACATATTATATTTAATATAAATTATAAATATATTATATTATATTTAATATATATTATATTAAATATATTATATTTAATATATCTAACATTTGGTATCAGAGCCAGTCAACCTTTCAACCCCGAGATATTTCCCGTAGTGAAATATGGCTACAAATTTCAATATTGTATGGACGGGTCCCAAATTGGACGGAAAACTCGATTACAATTATTGACAAATTATGATGTCCACACATTTGCAAGCTCAAAATCTTTGGAGCTTTGTTGATCCCGGTCTACTCGAAGGAGCTGATGCAGCCGCTATACGGCGAGATAAATTGGCCTTGGGTCAGATTCACCAAGGTGTTCATTATTCTATTTTTGGGCAATTAGCTCGTGCTCAAACAACAAAACAAGCTTGGGACATCTTAAAGGTGTCACACAAAGGAGTCGATCGGGCACAGAAGTCTAAGTTGCAGTCGTTGAGAAGGTTGTACGATAATTGTGAGATGACCTCTACAGAAACAGTAGATGCGTATTTCACTCGTCTTATTGATATGGTGAATAAGATGAGGCTATATGGAGATACGATTGAAAATGGTGCAGTGGTTGAAAAAGTTCTTCGAACTATGCCGATGAAGTATGACCATGTGGTGGCTTCAATAACAGAGTCACACAAAACCGAGCTCTTATCAATTGCAGAGCTGAAAGGTATGGTAGAAAGTCATATTGACAGGATTGCGTCAAAATCGGAACCACTAGCAGAAAAAGCTTTGAAGAGCCAAGTCACCCTTAATGTGACTGGCACTAATCAAAGAGGTGGAGGATCTGGTAGAGGTCGTGGAAGAGGAAGAGGAGGTTCTAGTGGAAGAGGTCGTGGTAACTTCAACCAAGGAGGAGGACGTGGTAACTCCAACCAAGGAAGAGGTGGAGGTAATACCAAACAAGGTAAATTTCCATTTCATTGCTACAATTGTGGCAAGTATGGGCACAAGATTGCAGATTGTTGGTATAATGAGGACAACAATCGTGGAAATCAAGCAAACATTGATGAAAACACTGCTGAAAAGTCTGGTGAGAGTTCTGAAACTTTACTTTTAGCCAGCGATAGTTTTTATGCAGATAAGAACATATGGTTCTTGGATACTGGGTGTAGTAACCATATGTGTGGGAAGAAAGAATTGTTTTCTGAATTGGATGAATCAGTCCGGTCTGAAGTGACATTTGGCAATAAGTCAAAGGTGCCAATTTTGGGAAAAGGTAAAATCTCTATTCAGTTGAAGGATGGTACTCACAATTTTATATCCAATGTGTTCTATGTTCCTGAACTACACCAAAATTTGTTGAGTTTGGGTCAGTTGTCAGGAAAAGGATATAAGATACATATTGCTCAGGGGTGTTGTACCATTGCAGATGCTAAAGGAGTTTTGATTGCAAAGGTAAATATGTCCCAAAATCGACTATTTCCTTTGAAAATTAAGCATACTCTACTTGCTTGCTTTAATTCTGAAGTTTGTGATGATAATTGGTTATGGCATATGCGATTTGGGCATTTCCATTTCTCTGGATTAAACTATCTTGCGAGAAAGGAACTTGTTTCTGATTTACCTGTTGTGAATGTCCCTGATCGTATCTGTGAGATTTGTGTGATTGGGAAGAAGCATAGAGATCCCTTTCCCGTGGGCAAGTCAAGGAGAGCTACAAAACAGTTGAAATACTCAGACCTATGTTCGTTGGAGGTTCCCTCACATGGAGGTTGTAAGTACTTTATTACTTTCATTGATGATTTCAGTAGAAAAACATGGGTTTACTTTCTGAAGCAAAAGTCTGAAGCATGTGATGTTTTCAAACAATTTAAGGCTTTTGTTGAAAAGCAGAGTGGTTATGAAATTAAAATCTTGAGAACTGATAGAGGTACAGAATATATTGCCTGTGATGATTTTCTGAAGAAGAAGGGTATTCAACATCAGATGACAGCTAGATACACTCCACAACAAAATGGAGTGGCTGAGAGGAAGAATAGGTCTATCATGGATATGGTAAGGTGCATGTTGAAATCCAAGGATCTGCCTAAACCTTTTTGGGCAGAAGCTGTTGCTTGTGCTGTCTATGTGTTGAATAGGTGTCCAACTAAGAGTGTCCGGGATAAGACACCCGAAGAAGCTTCGAGTGGGAGAAAACCCTCTATCAAATATCTCAAGGTTTTTAGATGTTTGGCATATGCACATGTGCCAGATCCATTGAGAAAGAAGTTGGATGATAAAGGTGAGAAATGCATATTCATTGGTTATAGTGACGCTTCAAAGGCTTATAAACTATACAATCCTGAAACTAAAAAGGTTGTTATAAATCGTGATGTCACTTTTGATGAATATGGTGCTTGGGATTGGTTAGCTAAAGATGAAAGTTCAGTTGTTATTCCTGCTGTTGAAAATATTGTTGAAGAGCAACCGATTCCAGATAATGTCCAGTCTCCTTCACAGCCAGAGTCGTCAGTTCGACGATCTCAGCGCGAGCGCCACTTACCAGCTCGCTTGCAAGATTATGTTTTGGGTCATGATAATGACTTGTCGGATGAAGAGATTATTCAATTTGCTCTTTTTGCATATTGTGATCCTTTATCTTTTGAGGAGGCTGCTACAGAAACTCATTGGCTTAAGGCGATGGATGAGGAGATACGTGCCATTGAGAAGAATGGTACATGGGAGTTAACAGATGTACCTCTTGGGAAGAAGCCAATTGGAGTAAAGTGAGTTTACAGAACGAAATACAAGTCCGTATATCCAACTTGAAGACGGAGACATTTCTTAAATTGAAGAAGGAGATATTGGGATGACCAATATATCCAACTTGGTTTAAAGGAGACAATGTTATAATAATAATATTATTATTATATTAAACCAAGTAAGATGAGTTAGTTAGTTAAAAATAATGAGAGTAATTATAGGTGCAGTACATGGCCATGATGTTAGCTTTACATGGAGCATTAATTCCTTAATTTTAGCATTTGAGTTATCTTATCTAGTATAAATAGTCTTTGTATTCAAGCTTTTATTATCAATCAAGTTATCTATTCCTCTCTCTCTCTCTCTCTCCTCAATATATATAAATATAATATATATACATATTATATTTAATATAAATTATAGATATATTATATTATATTTAATATATATTATATTAAATATATTATATTTAATATATCTAACAATTAATGTTGTTATATTCTAAACAAAACAATAAACATGTTTAATTACATAATTATGTTCATTTTTCAAAAAAAATGACCCAAATACACCAAGATAGTTTTCTGGAATGTATCCAAACATGGAAATGAAAATATTTTTTTGAATAATAACTTATTTTCCAGAAGTCATTTTTTTGTCTTCTAGACCACTCTTAATTCAATTGTTCATTATATTAAGTTTATTATTAATATACAAAATTTAATTTAGATATTTAAAAAATACATTAAAATAAAGTACTATTAAACACAAAAAATTAAAAAAAAAAATTACTAAAGAAAATAAAGACAGGGTGATTAATGAAGATCGCCTGATCATTTTCAGAAATAAAAGGGTGCTTGTGAGACTTTTTTTTTTTTTTTTTTTTTTTTTGTGTACCCAAGATTACCACCCTCACACAATGATTAATCTCCTCATTAAATTGTAGACACTATCTCTTTTGGGTGGATAACTGGCTTATAGGTTTAAGGTTGATCTATATCCAAAGTCAATGATCGAACCCTTAACCTTTGCTTAAGGATGGATGAATCATTTCCACTCAACAACACTCCAAGTTGTGAGACATTAATTAGCAAGACATATGTATGATGAGTTATTCCCTAAAAAAGGAGGAAGAATTTATTAATTGGGAATCAAATAAAATTAAAGCAGTTTGAATAATGTCTATTATATATTGGGCAGAATTTTGAACAAGAATCTAACCTGTCTTTCTTATCTTTTTGGAATCAATTGCAAACCCCATAAATAATTCACCAAAACCGAACTCAATTTTCACCAACCCAAGGAAGTTATTAAAAAAAAAAAAAAAATCTCCAATTTCATCAAATCAAGATGGTTTCTCGTCAATTCCTCAGGTTTGTTTTTCGTCGTCGATTTCCAAGAGCCGGCGGCTACTCTGGCCACTGCAAAGAAGACGAATGTAGTGAAAGTTCGGAGAAGTTCGATGTGGTGGCAAAGTACTATGAAGATGGCTATGTCCCATGCAACAAAATCAAAGACGATGAAAACAAGGAAAAGTACCAAGATAACAACCACAACAATTCCAAAGACAAGCACGATAAAAACAAGGAGCTATTCTGGGAGGGATTCCAATATGAAAATATGAAGGAGTTACGAGGTGGGAGTTTGAATGTCGTCAAGGAAAACTGTCAAAATGACTATGTCGTCGTCGTCGTCGTCGACCACCATGACATGATGAATTTCAACAAAGACAGCAGGTACAATAATGAAAATAAGTTGAAGTTTTATGAGGGTTTCAATGTGAAGGAGAAGTATCAAGATGACGACCGCAACCAAGACAAGTATGAAAAGTTACGGCCCATAGGGAGAAATGCGTTCCAAGATTTGTATGACAACCAACACAACACAGCTCCAACATTCACTACTCCGACCACGAACGGTCTGTACCCGGTCAAAGTACCTACGAGGTTCCCGTACTATAACGTTTTGTTCAATTTAGTCCTTATACCTTTATTTTGTTCAAATAAAAATACAATTTTAACAATCAATATTCATACTATATTTATTAGGGGTGTAAACGAGTCCAGCCGAGCTCGAGCTCGAGTTCGGGCTCGATGGGAATCCGTGTAGCTTCGTCCGTGTCGGCAGCAGCTTCGTCCGATCTCAACTAGTCGACTATCGGGCAGCACTGCAGCAGCTTTGTCAGTTCGTCACCGGCAAAGGTGAAGACCGGAGACAAGGGTCGTCATCGTCGGCCGGCAGTCTTCCGATGTCTCCATATCTCGTCTCCGTGTCGTCGTTCGTCGACAGTCTTCCAGACCCCAGAGTTAGGGCTTGGGGGGAATGCGGGCGGGAGTGCGAAACTGCGAGAGTATCGGAGTAGAGTAAGCCTTAGAACGGTGTAAAATTTTAACTTTTAATAATAATTATTATTATATATATAAGGCTCGTCGAGCCACGAGCATAAGATATGTGAGCTCGACTCGAGCTAGATAAGTAAACGAGCCGCTCGAGTTTGGTTCGATCTCAATTTTGACCGAGCTACTCGCGACCCTAATATTTACATTTGAATATAGCATATTATAAAATATTCTAACTAAGAACTAATCGGATTTCTCGAAATTTAAAATATAGTTTGGATTCAGATAAGAATTCAAATAGTTAACACCTTAAACTTGAATAAAATAAATAGGACAAAATTAAACGATTGTTCAAAACATAGACACTAAAGTTACCACTTTGTTTGATAAATAATAACAATAATAATAATAATAATAACAACAATAACAACAACAACAACAACAACTACTACTACTAAACGTGCAAAACAAATATGCTCTTTCCAAATTTCCGTTCAATATTGTCATATATATTGTGGAAACTTTCAATAATACCAAATATCAAATTATCAATGTTGTGTTAAGTTGATATATTTGATGAAAGGTAGGTAGTGAGCTGATGATGTGAAGTTGGAAATTGAATTCCTTTTGCCTTATAGTATGCCTTCTCTGCATTAGCTACCCTATCTTGAAATGTTTGCCATTCACTTCTACATCTCTGTTTCACCTGCAAATTAAAGTAAACAAAAATTAATTGTTTTAATTTCCAATGCTTTAAGAAAGCACCATCTCAGATCATTCACCAGTCTCGACTTGTACTTCCCACTCTTTTGCGGTCCCTATAAAAAAGCAAAGGGGAAAGGAATTAAAGATAAAACATATACGGGTTCAAATGCGGGGCGCGGACAGTGTTTCCCATACAGTCGGTGCGAATTCACCATTTAGATATGCAAAAATACACCCCACAGTATTCGAAAATGCACCACAATGAAATGCACTAATGCAGCACAAAATGCACCACACAGTGTTCGGAAATGCACTAATGCAGCACAAAATGCACCACACCAAAAAAATACATTACACCTAATGGTGCATTTCCGAACACTTTGTGGTGCATTTATGCGTACTTACTGGTGAGTGACCGCACGACTGTACGGAAAGCACTGTCCGCACAGAAACCTGACTGAACGGTATGATGGTGATTTGATTCTATTATATTGTACATTAAATATACTCCGATCTGGTAATATTTATATGTGTTCATGTGTATATATGTTGTATTACCTCGTTCCGAAGTGAAGGAATCCCTTGGTGAACAACGGGTTGGGCATCAACCACTCCAATTTTATCGTGAGCATACTACAATGGATTAACATAATGTTTTTTTAGTAACATGTGAGTGGACAATTTAATTGCAATTCATTCAAATGACTTTTTGAAAAACGATTGGAACGGTAAGTTAATGTAATAACTATAATAGATTCCTCAAGTGCGTACTAAGGTAGAGTGGAATGATCTAACCTCAATGCATCTTCTAAGGGCAAAGTCAAGACCCCAACCATGAACCAAGTCATTCTACAATTCACACAATTAAGCTCATTAGATCTACTTAAGCATAAAAGCATATTTGGCTACCCGATCCCGACTTCCATGTATACCTGAATCATATGCCACACACAACGCCAAGCATCTCGAGAGAAGACGGGAGCCATGATCTCCACGAATCTAAAATCAGAACCATATAACGATCGAGCTTAGTTATATATACTCCTCCACGGGGATACTAGCATATAAATTTCAGACATCAAGTTTTAACGATTCATACGCTGCACATGGAGGCAAATGAGGATCAGAACACCAGCCTTGTTTCTCGTCGGTTTCCCTGATGACACAAAATTAGATCCGACTTATAGAACTGTCAAAACGTGATCCTGTTCCAACGACATTCTTACTTGTGAACTTCACTGTTAGCTTTTCTCCTCGTCATCTCCCACGTCAACCAAACTCCCTTCTTTCGCTCCAAACCGGGCTGCGAAATCTCCAGCCCATGTTTCTTTACAAGTTTTATGTATCTGAAATTGCAGGTGCAGAGAAAGGGACCAGGAGTCAATTTTGAGATCCCGAAAAGGATTAAAATCTTGTGATCGAGTACTATTAACTTACTCCTCTGCATCGAAATGCTCAACTCCTAGGTCTTCATCCCAGATGAATATGTATTCATACGAGGCAACAATATCGGGATGCAGAAACCTTTTGGCATACCACCTTAGACAAATTTGCAGAAATATGGGCGATGCTGATCGAGATATATACACTTTGAACTTATAAATACTTGAACTATACATTACTCCTTACCACTTTGTCTGCTTATGAGCACTCACGTGAATAGCCCGCTTGGACCACTCGAATTCATCCCATTCGGTTGTTTGCCCATCGTAGTGAAACAGCAGAATGGTAAAATTGTCTGAAAACTATACAAGGATCGTATTCTCGATCAAGAAGAGAAACTCATACAATTGAACTTAAGGGGAGACTTGGGAGAAACAAAAAAGCTAACCTTTTTCACAACAGCATCTATGTTATCTTTCTGTTTATACCCAACTGTGAGTGTTAGTAAATACTTCGGTTTCATTGTTAGGTCCTGCAGATACATCGAAAGATAACTATATCGAGGATGAATATATAAGATGATAAAAACGGGAATTAAGTGGTTTATGTAACTCACGTCGGGAACACATAGACAAAGGGAATGAAAGCTGTGGGCTAAAGTATACTTGCCTGGCTGGGTTCGCCCCATAATCTTCGGAGGTAGAAGTCTGACTCGGGGACAATGATATCTGGTGGTAATCTCTCTGCCCCTCTCGGGTTTGATGGAACCCATATCTGATCAACACCGGTAAACAACAACCTTAATTCCTAATGTTAAAATGTCTCTTCAAATCCGAGATAACCTTAAACATATGAATCCAGCAAAAATAAGATAAATTGTTGTTTCAGAAAGGATGTACTACCTTTGTAGGATCCATCACGGTTTGATCTTCTGTTAAGTTGCTACTATCATCTACGTTGTTAACAAGACTTGCTGTGACATTTAACTACCAAATTCGAAGCACAAAGCATAGTATGAGTTAAGTACCCGAAACACTTTGAGCATTTAACAAAGTAAAGAAGACAAACAATCATTTGATTATGTACGAGAGAGACAAATACACGAACATGAATTGAAGTACTCTACCTTGTTTAAATAGAGTGCGGGAAATGAGAACCCGATAAAGAGGCCAAAAATTACTCCAATGGTAACTGCGACGACAAGTTTCACTGTTTCGTTTTGCCTTTTACCATTCGAGCTGTGGAAAAAAGAAGCAAAAATTTCGAAGATGCAATAGCATCACATATACAACAGCACCGGTGAAATCTCGAGAAAAGCAATTAACCACTTATAGCCACATATGACTAACATAGTAACATACCAGTGTCCAAAATTCTTCATTGTACAAACCCGATTACCAGAAGATAGATACAGCAGCTTCCCCGCATCCCTCAAATAATTTCCTAACATTGACCCACCCCCAAACCGAGGGTTGGATTAGATTAGATATGGCAGGACGAAGATCTAAGGAACCAATTGAAACGGGAAAAAAAGAGTTTAATTAGATATAGTTTCACGTTTTATGAGAATACAGAGCTATATTGCAGCATAAAGCCAAGCTAGAAGACATGTAAATAAGCTGAGATTAATTACTAGCTCTCATAACTTCCATTGAAAGAGCAACATAATAAGCTCCAACTTTCAATCATCACCTATAACTCAATTTTCTTTTGGTACATTTGAGAGTAACTTGAAATATCCTATACCCCGAATATTTATGCCACTAGATTATAAGGTCTTGGGCCGTAGGCCATAGTATCTCATCAAAAACACAAACTAAAAGCCAGTAAGAACCACAAATCAAACCTATAACCAAAATTATCAAAAACTTCAAAATAACTATTGGGCACAGCTAGGAGAGCCGGGTCTAATATCCTGTCATCGAAACATGACGCTGACTGTTACACAAGTATAAAGAAATAAAGTAGCGAAAATGTTCTAAATTATTAAAAATCAAACCTATAACCAAAATTATCAAAAACTTCAAAATAACTGTTGGGCTACAGCTCGGAGAGCCGAGTCTAATATCCTGCCATCGAAATGTGGCACTGACTGCTTACACAACAATTGGTACACACCAAGACCATCAAAATCTCCATCATTCAAATGAAATAAATAATACCATGATCAATTAAGTTCACATCACAGTTGTTAGAGTATGGCAGATGCTGTAAGAAAACATTACATGCAGGATAAACATCTTACGTTTTTATGTGTAAATTACATGCTTTATATACACAGTGAGTAGAAGAAAAGCACCTGAAGTTGTATATAACAAGATGAGGAAATTAAAGAGCTGACAGCAATCAAAGAATGGGAAAAGAAGAGTTCATGAAGAGAAATCTTCAAGTCTTTGAGTTCAGAAAATAAGAGACTCTGTTGGTGGCACAGAGAGATGGAGAGGGAAAATGAAGGAGAAGAATTTACTTCAATTTTGCCTTTTTTTTCCTTTTAAAAAATTGATTTTTCCATATAGAGAAAAAGTATTAACATAAATGTTGCTAAATAATGATAATTTATGAGGAATATGTTATTAAATTGTGTACTCATAATGTTGCATCCATAATTTTTATGGTAACAAAAATATTCTGGAGCTTAACAATGTTAAGACAATTTCTTTTGGTAATAACAGTGAAAATTTAAACCAAATAAAATTATCATGATAGGATTTTTTTTTTTTTACAATTCAAAACGACATTTAGATTACGTATTTGTAGTTAATAAATTATGCACCGATAAATAAACTGAATATACATAAAGTATATATATAATATATGTTGACCCTGTTTGGTAACATAGTTAGCTTATCAACCAATTTTAACTTGTTTGACCACTATTAACTGTTTTGACTTGGTTAAACAACCAATAGGAGTGTTTGATTAATTAACTTTTTATAATAATTTATTGCTCTAAAACGCTAAAATTCAAAAAACTACTCCAAGCATCTTTTTGAAAAAGTCATTTTGCATGTAATCTGCTATCAGCTAACAGTTAATTTACCAAACATCTTTCTATAATCCGCTAATGTTATAACTAATCAAACCGACTAACCCAATTAACCTATAGCTATTTACCAAACACCCCGTTAACTAATCTGAACAGCTCTCGTCTACAATTTAACAATTGACAATATGTAATTTGTTACTGTAAGAATAAATAGAGAATGTTGAAACCCCAAGGGTAATTGTTTAATGTAAGGTCTACAGAATAAACAGAGGATGTTGAAACCCCAAAGACAATTGTTTAATGTAAGCTTTTGGAGACACAATTTAAAGAAGAAATTATTTTCATGGTAGAAACTATAGACCAAAGAAGAAAAACACGTTACAGAGACTTGAAAGACTTTTACCAATTCAAATCTAGGATATCTACTTTTCTTTATTTCCTTTTATTTTTTTGTTTTTTGTTTTTAGATGATAGATATTTATACCATACACGGATAACATGTATTTTGTTTGATAGAACATTTTTCTTTCACATCTTGAATGTGACAATAGAATTCTTTTATATTCATTTGGCTACTAATCCCACTACGAGAAATCTATCATCTAGTTTGTACGAGTTTAACTCACTAGTTCAATAGGTAATATTAAGGACAAACAATCTATCATCTATATTCCTTTCTTAAATTTATATCTGAATATTTACCTCTTACTATTTATCTCGTTACTTAACACTACTTTAATTTTTTTTTTTTTTTGTATTTAATTAGTAAGTACATTATAAAAATTGTAGGTAATAATTTTAATAGACAAATTTAATATCTTCTTATATTGTATATAAAAATAATTTTCCATATAGAAGCTTGGTGGTGTGGTAATGCGATCAATTATGTGTGTTCTGAGGATGAGTGGTGTACTGGTCCATTGGATCCTAACACAAGCCAAAAACGACTTGTCAAGTACTCCAATTAATTTGTGGAAATGTGGACCAAATGCCTGTGACAATGACCCTTTTTTTTTTTTTTATTGTTGATTGTTGAAGTGAAGAAAAAAATTATTAAGCAGGCATATTAATGTCTCAAAAATACAAATACACACCACTCATCAAATCATAAAATTAAAAATAACAATTAACAAATTGCAATAAAACTCGAGCTTTCATTTGAGAAAGTAATGAGTTTGGAACGATTAAAGTGGTGATAATAATACCTATTACTGGATTTAAATCTCTTACAATATATTGAATGCTGTTTCATAGGGAATGGAATAAGTAAGAAAAATAGAACATGATTTGTATTCTATATTTTGGTTTGCTAAAGAATAGACTTTACAAATGTTATTCTAGTGTTTGGTTAGTTTAAGGAATAGAAATTGAATATGGTTTTAAAAGCAGAACAAATCTTATTTGGATGAACTAAGATCAAATGGATGAATATTTCGGCGATACAATACATGTTAGTGTGTGGTGCATTTATAAGTGCTTTGTGGTGCACTTTTGAGTGATACGTAGTGCAATTATTGTATTACACCACTCAATGGGCCTATTGAACCCACCGCGTTTTTTTTTTTTTTTTTCCTTTTTTTGCAATGCACCACACACTAACACTTAATTCACCACCAAAATATACATGGTGTATAAAATTATAAAAATGTCACCACATTTTTTTTCCTTTTAATCTATTTTCAGCCATCCACTTGGTGGTGAACCACAGAGCATCACGTAATGCACCACAGAGCACTCATGAGTGCATCACTCACTAGCACTTAGTGCACCACCGAAACTTAATATTTGTTTCAGATGCGGCGCTGCTCTCCCATGCAGTCATGCAGACATATCATAATTATATCTTTTTTATTTTGATTTGTTCCGCTTTTAATTATCAACTTTTTAAACCAATCACTTTTCATTCTGATGGATATATTAGCAATGGGCTCGAGGCGAACTGACCGGAGAAGAGTTGGCGCGGCAAGGGGGGGCCCAGAGCGGGTCGACCTCGGTCAAGGTCGACCCGGCTAGAGGTCGGCGTCGACCCCGGTTGGGGGCCGACCTCAGCCAGGGCGACCACGACCCAGGGGCCAGTGGCGGAAGGTGTGCAAGTGGACCTAGTCAAAGGTGATCCAACCGCCCACCCTATTCTCAAGGGGCAGTTGGGCAGAAGCTTAGTATATAAGGAGGCATCCTTGTCTGGTTTAGGGCGGCTAGTACTACTTTGTCTGAATATTACATATTCCTTGTAATTCTCTTACAAAATACTATCAATACGAAAGTTGTCCCCGCGACATATATTCATTGTCTTTTTCTATTTATTCTCTATTTATCGGGTTTAGTAATTCGGGCTACCCCGAATTAATTAAATCCATCACATTCTAAATATCCAAAATTTCATCACTTCGTGAAAATTTTAATAAACTTCGCACATATAAGGGCATCTCAATATTTTGAAATAGATGTGAAACACTTTTAAAAGCAAATGATTAAAATTTAAACAAATATATTGAACCTCGGATTGCAACTATATATTGAACATGAGTTGTCGAGTATAATATGCATGCGCATATCAATCCCATGATACCCCACAAATCCACAACTATCCATTCACCATTCTTTAAAAATATGAATTTTCCCTTTATCAAAACAATGTAAATGAAAAATAAAAAAATAAATAAAAAAAAATAAAAAATAAAAATAAAACTATGTCGTCCATCCCTGCAAGTCAAAGATTTCAAGATAATATGGCATTTCATTTCTTTTTATTTATAAAATACTTTTTATCAAAATGAAAACTTGCAAACTAACAAAAGGACATTTGACCGAGTGATCGAGCGGTCCATTTTTAGGACTTTAATATTATTATTATTATTATTATTATTTAAAATGGAGATAATAGAAAAATCTTACAAAAGGAAGAATGAAGAAAAGAGAGAGATGAAAGAGATAAAATTTTAAATGAGAGGGGTAGATAACGTCATTTTATAACTATAAGGATAAAATAGGAAAAAAATAAGTTCTTTTCATATTTAAAAGACGTTATTGTGGTTGCTCAATTCTTTACTGTTCTAAAAATCAAGAAAAAATGATGTTAAATGATGAAAAGTTATTGTGGTTGCTCAATTCTTTACTTGTTCTAATAATAGAGAATTTAAAATCATAGACACTACCTGAAGAACTAATAAGGATAAAATAAGAAAAATGACTTATTGTGGTTGCTTTTCAATTTTTTACTGTTCTAAAAATCAAGAAAAATGCACTATTGTGGTATAGAAAGTGCGAAAAACAAAGAAGAGAGAAAACAGCCACCCAAGGTTCAGCCTTTAAGCCATAACAAGGAAGAAGGCGAGGGTAAAAGTACAAATTTACCCTTTTCTATTTCAAGCTTATTTGAGTTTCCATCTAACACTTTCACTACCCAAGAGATGAAAATAGCTGTCTTGGTGAATAATTAAGAGACACATCACACATGCAATGACATGTAAATATGTAATTGAGAGAATGAACTTACACTTGCCTAAACAAACCATCTCTAACTTGCACTTCAAATTATAAACACTTCTACTCAATTCTAAACCTTTGGTAAATCAAAGAACACATATATATATGGTAGAACTAGTAGTTATTCCATCCTGTTACAAGCCAAATGCAAAGGCAATGGAGGGTCTGAAAACGAACCATTCAAGATCTCATTAAATACCCATTTGTTAGCTGCTTCGGTGAAGTGAGTCCCGTCCCAACTAACCCGAGCCGATGGATCTTTGCAAGACTTCGCGATCACTATCTCTTTCCCCTTCACAATCTTCTTGCTTCCGCATTTGATTGACCTGTTATAGTTATACTTCCCACCGTGCCCACAACAAGCCAAGAACGGGTTCTCAAACCCTGCCATTCATTACCAAACTCGTGAGTTCCAGGAGTTATGCGCGAGTTAGTTTAATTTGCCAGTTTGTAAGGTGAAAAATTTTCTACCTAGCTTCGTTGCACGAGTGATGAGGGAGTACTTGACAGAGTAAACGTCTACGTATGTGATTGCAGCAGACGGAAGTTCTTTCCTGAGCTTTATCACGGCTTGTTTTAGCCTTAGATTGAAGTACTTTGCAACTTCGTTGAACGGGGTGGCACATCCAAACTTGTCGATTTGAGCTGCTGGGACAAGAAACCGGTCCATAACATATGGTAGGCAACCCGCGGGGCCTGTGTTGTGTATCCAAAACGCCCTTCCTCCCCGCGCATACACATTCTGTTCAAGATGAATTCTTACACTTAGAAAAGTAAAAAACATCGAGAATTTCAAGAATTGATTACTTCTTTACTTGTACCCGAGTTCTTACCTTGATTGCATTGGAGAATTGAGCTACAAGATCAGGAACATATGCCTTGACTTGTTCGGTTGACATGTTGAGTTTGTAGCCAGCTGTGAGATCATTCTGCCCAATATCGAAGGTGTATAATGCTCCAGAAAAGTCATCCTCCTTTGGCAACAAATTCTGGAATATACTCTCTGATATT